GACGATACTCGCAACTCATATTCGAATTTTGCCGGTGGTACTGATGAGACCAAGACGAGTTCAAAACTGCAGTCTAGCCTTTTGGGAGGCAACGTTAAGTGAAATTCAATGGTTTCGCCAGACCTACTTATCTTGCTGTAAATCATCTTAAGCGGCCTGTGATGATTAGGTTCTTATTCAAGACTTGATGATAGACTCGAAAACTACTTATTTAGACTCCCGTCTTATTTTTGAGAAGTGTCACAAGCTATTAGGCCGCTCCATCAGCCTTGACGAAGTCAAGTCGAGGCCCCTACTTGGTGTTCCCCTTTCTCCCTCTCTCAATGGCGAGAATTTGTCTTACTTTACCAGAGTCGTGTTCATAGGCCTCCATCGGCAATAGCATCCTTAATGTGACTGATTTCAAGGAATGTCAGCTTGTTTATTTACTCTCTGCGTTTTATACCATCTATCTGTAAGACAGGGAGGGTCAATGCTGGAAGCCTGGAAGAATAATTCTTCAAGCGTCTCAATCTCTTCCTCTCATAAGTTTGATCTATCCGGACTACACTGCATAGGCATAAGGGACACTCTATAAATCTCTCTTCTTGCGCCCAACTTTATTTCCGCTGAATTTTCAGCGAAATCTTTCAAACGACATTTCTTGTCTAGGTCATCTCAAGTGGCTTGGGGTGATTTAAGGGTCATTAAGGGAATTTCTCCGTCATTATCATCAGTAGCCCTCAAGACGCGAATGAATTTCATTTAGCTTTGCCTCCCATTAGATTTTCCTATTCAGGCTAGACTACGCTTTCCACATTGCCCCAATGGGATTTGAAGCCGGGCCTTGCGCACCATGGTGACACAAGCCATTCTCCAATACACCGCCGCGGGTGCATTCGGGTTCCAGGATGGATATCACTTTCGCGGCAAGTCAGGCCTCTTCCAACTCATATCTGCTGTGGGAATGTTGATGGGCAATAATTGACGATTTTGCCGTGTGAGTATGTTTGATAACTATCAGAACTTTGAATAATCACTTACTTTAAGTGAGTTAAGTATTTTAGGTTCTTCCATACAAGTATACTCCAATTTGGATGAGAGCACATTTTAAGAGACAAAGCTAAGTGAAATTTACTGATACCATGAGACCTACTCACAACCCCTATTCGTCTAGGAGATTATTAAGGTCTTTAAGCATTTAGGATAGTTTCTAAGTCTGCTCACACAGAATATGTTTTTTCAGGGCTCACGCTTCAAGTCATTAAGTAATATATTTTGAAATGTATTCACCCTATCTCGTTAAAGCTGATAAGGAGACAAGTAGTTGAATTCGTTCACAATTATATAAGTAGACCTTGCGTTTCTATTTAATTTCACATCAAAATTTATTCTCATCCTGGCAGAAATTGACTTCAGTGTTGACCTCGCTTGAACTGGTTTCAGCAACACATTCAGCGGGACTCGGACCATCGGCACATTAGCCATTACGTCACATTGGCACGAATGCCTTTGGGCAACAGGACAGATGTGAATTTCAAGGAGGGCCAGGCATTATCCCACATCACATTCCGTGTTGGGATGGTCGATGAAGCAAAACTGTATTTGGTATTGTTGAGATTACTTCCATTTCGAGGGAAAGTATTGGGCGAAGAGATTCGAAGGTCGGTTCCACCACAAGACGACGGCGGATTCCTCTTGACCAGCTGTCGATTGGCTTTACTGAAGGATTCATGCTAACTCTGTTTCCGAGGCAATCTCCTTCGATTCCGGTGAATAGCTGCTAAGCTTTCGTCCGTCATATGGCGAACATCATTAGAGCGAGGTAACATCGTTACAACAAAATTCAAGCTAACGAGTCAAGAAAACTCACGTTCCTTTTTGCTGTCCTAATTACTCTGAGCCATCACTTCGGGTTTCGTGCATAAGCGAACACAAACATGCACATATACATATAGAGACAGACATACTCACAGGCATCGAAGTTGACATATGACATTAACTAACCAAATCACCTTATACTTGATCAAAGAGGTCAGATGTAGAGTATATATACGACTTTTTAGGGATTTGCCGGTGAGTTTTCTTGACTCGTTAGCTTGAATTTTGTTGTGACGACGATACCTCGCTCTGATGATGTCCGTCATATGACGGACGAAAGCTTAGCACCTTTTCACCGGAATCGAAG